ATATATATATGTATATATAGCTTTTTACATAACAGTATAAAATCTAAAGAATATATATTTACAATATATATTACAATATTTTTCAAACACTATAACACAATTATTAATAGAATTAACACATTTTATGATATTTCATACTTTTCTCATTAAATTAAGAATACAAGATGCAAAATAAAGAAAAAGGAATCGTTACGTAACGGTAACTACATAAAGACAATATATGAAGAAGAGATTTATCAATTATTATTAATTAGAAAACAAAATTGATATTTTCAGATTATTATATTACAAGAAGTTATACTACAATTGTTTAATTGTGAAAATTATATCAGTCTTTGAATTCATGATATAAAAGCATATTAATTAATATTCATAATATAAATGATGCTATAAAGATATCATTATCTTAGGTTTAATCAGCTAATCGAAACTTATCACTTAAAGTTTAATTCCATTAATAAGTTTTAAGTTATTTAAATTATAATATTACAGTCATAACTTTTAATCAAACAGTTCTCCAATTACAGGTCACATTTGTAATATTTGTCCTTTGTCTTATAAATTCTCACATATTGTTCAAAAATGTACGATGAAAAAGTAAAAACGTTAAAATTCAAAAATAAAAATTTTAATCATTTTTAGAAAGAGCAATTTTCCTCCATTTATGGCTTGTTTCGTTTTTTACATGTCCAAATTCAAATCTAATTCTAAGCTCACCAATCTTCGAAATTGGCAAAATATCCGGTATCCATTCTATCAAGAATGGTGTAGGTTCAATTTGATTCGGAGAAGTATTTCCTGAAAATAAATGAAACAAAAGCGTTATTATATAAAAATATCTAATACCATCTTTTCTATTAATAATAAATTTTTTAAATAAATTTTTTAAATATTTAATTAAGCTCTTAAATCTCTCGACAAATAATTTAGTAAAAAATATAAAATTAAAAAACTCTCAATCTTTAAAATAAAAATAAACAATCAATTCAAGACTAATGAGAGTCAAAGCAGATGAAGATGCCCAATGAGAAAACATTAATTACTTTCCATTACACAAAATCTTCTTTACTTTTGGACATTTCGACTTTTTATAGAATCCTCTTTCAAAGTCCTCTTCCCAACTTATTGGGAACCTGATAAAGACTTACTTTTGACGGATAGTTCAATGAAAATAAGTTAAGATTTGTAATATTGCTGAACAGAACTCCAAAGAGAGCTAAAATGTTCAAAAATAAAGAAGATTTTGTGCAATAAAAAGTAATTAATGTTTTGTAATTTAATCGTTGGGCACTTTCATCTGCTTTGACTCTGAGATTAGCCTTAAACTGATTGTTTATTTTTATTTTATAATTTAGTGAGTAATCAATCATTCTTTGCATACTAAACTCTCACTTACCCACTTTTAAATATGTTTTCAACTCTAATGGTTTAATCAATGCGTTATTATTTGTTTTTTTAAAACGATCTATTTCTGTTTCCTCACGTTTATATAATTCATATGTTCCGTCTGCGTTTTGTACAAAACTTCTTGTAATTTCCAAAGGTATATACGGCGTCTCGAAAATACTCTTTACATGCAAGATATTTGTAATTTGCCATGTGTATTTAGTGAACGTTCCCAGCGGTACCCCATCTTTCCTGACAAACGCCGTCGTTGAATTCGGCAAGCGTTTCTTTTTGCCACCACATGAGATTCGTTCGCGCAAACAATCAAAAAATATCTGTGGTACATGAAATACTAAGGGATCGGGTTTACCATCGAACTGAAAATGCATCGTTTGATTTATTCGTTCGGTTATCGAAGCAAGCCACTTGATAAATGGCAAACTTGTACTGGCCTCATCTAAATCATCGCAAGTATTTTGATATTTTTTAACAATTTGTGATTTTGTCTTCGATTTTCTTAATTCAATTGAATTTAGATTCAAATTACTGTTATTCATATGCTTCTCATCTCTTTTTCGTTTTGTCGAAATTGTTGGTTGCATTACATTACCTTCAGAATTTAATGTACTTTTATTATTGTAATTTACTATTGCGTTGCTGTCAACTATTTTTACACTACGGTTATTTAGGGCAACATTATTGTCGACAAGCTTTGCATTAGTCACATCCAAGATAGTACTGGCATCAAAAACTTTCAATGTACTCGGATCCAATACTTTTATATTACTGTCATTTAATATATACTGACTTTGATTATTGAGTACATTGTATTTTGTGTCAATTGTTCCTTGATCATCCAGTATCTTTATAGTATTTCCTCCTCCCAATTGAACACCATTTTGATCAATTACTTCTAAATTGTGAACCTGCGTAATATACAAATACTTTAATAATTTCAATAATTTATTTTTTTCAAAAATTTGTGAAATGATTAGTTTTAATAAATTTTTATAAATTAATGAAAAAGTATTAATATTTTTTAATATAAATGTTTTATGCATCTTACTTGTGATATTATATTGTTATCGTCTAGTAAACTGCGCTCGCATTCCACTTCTATATTTTCAACAATACCATGGGATAAAATCGAAGAATCTAAATTTATAGAATCTAAATCTAATCTATTTCCATCTAAACTTTGTACAGTAAGAGTATCATCACGAAAAATTAAAAGATGTGTATCAGTTTCGTCGGTGGTTAAACTATCGAGATCTGAAATTTTATATTATCATTGACAATAAAATAAGTTTCTAAATGTATAATATACGCGCAATCTTACCAATTCCAACAATTTTATCTTCATTTTGCGGTACAATTGTTAGAGATTTTTCTATACTAGATTGTGTTTGATCCAGATTTATGTAATAACTAAACTCTTCAGATAACTTTGGGTCGCTAGCAAAAGCACAAATGCATGCGTAAAAATGCACACATCGCTTTAATTGGGACGAAGTCCCTCCGTCCATTCCTTTATCTCCTCCTATTTTTGTTGTACCCTATATATTATTCCAATATTATTCAATAAAATTTTTTCTAAATTAAAAATATTATTTGTATTTTATATATATATAAACATAGTTTAGATAATTTAAAAATTCTATATTTTATCAATTACTTACAATCTTTCTTCAAATTGTTTTAGAAAGAAATTTTTTATAAAATTGTATGCATTTTATTTACCTTAAATGTAGTACAACTGCAGAAGTAACGATGTTCTATTCTATCTTTTAGTTTACTAACAAAGAAAGAAAAGTGTAAATAGCCTAGAGGATGTTTGGGGGAAGCTTTACATTTCACTGCCATTATATTCTTTGAGACTCTTTGTACTAAGGGACCTGAGGTTTCTGTCGCTAACAGCCATATCTCTTGCTTTGTTTCATTATTTACATTTAACGACGATAAAATAGAATTCTTTAAAGTTAATGGTTGTGCTTCAGCATAACATTTTAATGCTGTTTGAATGTGCTGACATATGGACATATTTTCTGAATAACCTTTCTCCTAAAAATAAAATTACAGAGATACATATATAAAAATATAATTACAGAATTTTATCAATATGTAAAATCTTATACAATATTTACATGACATTTAAGAACACTGGTATGAAAACTTCTTTCACAGCTGTCAACAAAACATAATGCTGTGGTTTGTGAAATAAGTGTTGTAATATTTGAAATAGTGGCATTTATCAATGGTAACTGTACAAAGCCACGGTAATCGGGTCCTTTGTCTTTGACTCGTACAGAAAACACTTGCACTGTTGAACCTGTAATTAACTTGCATGCTTCTGTAGATAATTTTCGCTTCTCACCAGGTTCCTTGAACACTGCATCACAATATTTGTTTTTACAACAGAGACCACGCGATCCATTGTAAGTTCCACATTTTGGACATTTTCGAACACCACGAAGAGTAGCCTTTCCAAGGTCTGATAAAAGTTTCTTCAAACGTTCTTCATTGGACATAGCTGCTATATATTACAATAATATATATTAAGAAATTCAAATAAAATTTTCTAAACCATATTTTCTATTAAATTTATATAAGTTTTTCTACTAATACTGTGAGTATTGATTAGTTAATAGAAAAATTAAGTAATAAGAAATTTTTATAAATTATCTATTAAATATTTAATATCTATGAAATTGCACTTAAGAAAATGCAATTACTTGATTAATTTGAAATATGTTTTTAAAATATGTAAAGATCATTTATTGTGTTAATTTTAAAAATTATATTCTTTTTTTTTATTTACTAGTTTGTTTCTTATCCAAGCAAAATAATCCTATACAAATTTTTATTCACAAGTAAAATATGTCTTTTTCATCATCTTATTAAAAATATAAACTAAAGAGAAAATAATAAAGAATAGACATTCAAACTCATCATACAAAGTATAATAGTATGCTAAATCAATGTATACATCAAATCAGTGTAACTATATGCAATTTAGCAATAACCTGACACATAAATAAAGAACTCTTGTATTTAATAAAGTTGGACAAACTTGCAGCTTAAAGATTTTAGAAGAGTGCTTTGGAATATCTATACAATTTGTAGTATCTTAATTGTATGTTAATGAAGTGAAGATTAGTTTTTTCTTGAGATCAATCCAATTATTACGAAATTATTTATAATCAAACTCAGAAAAAAAGAAATAAAAGAGGAAAAAAGAAGAAAGAATAAATCTGATAATCAATCTTAAAAAATAGTTTTGTAGGAAGACGATGAAGAACTACATATTGTTGATAAAAATAGAAATTATATTATTTACTAAGATCTTAATTTTGAAGAAATTATGTGATTAAATTAAAGAATATCTTGCGTTGATAGAAATAAATAAAAAAAGTAAAAATAAAAGCTGCTAAGGTCAAAAAGAGCTGTGTTATTGTTTCTTCATTTAATAGGCTAAGTACATATATGCTGTAAACATAATTGGAAGAAAAATTCATCTCACAGGTTACATTAAGTTGCATAATAAAAGCGATAAAAGAAATGTATCATTATCCGTATTTTTAGTAGGAGAAAAAGGTACCGAAAATTCGCATTCGGCGTAATGCGAAGAGCATGAATTATATCTCGTTACAAAAACAACATTACCGATGTTATCTTCCGATATCGCAGAAGCGACGTAACGATTGCACAGACGTAAGAAAAAAAATATGGCTTTTTTGGTATCTTTCACAACCGGATTATGTTTCGAATTACAAATTCGCTTTAGGTAGTAAATAAATAAAATCCATCACGAGAGTATTTAGTGCAGAGGGCGTAAAACTCTTGCCACGGTTTTAGTGAAAAGCTAGAGGGTCAATCACATCGGTTTTCTGTATCTGTATCATAAATCATTAATTAAACCATGGTTTAATTATTGATTAAACCATGATTAAACCATGATTCTTCTATCATGAATTAAACTTTGCAAATTTGATATTATAATCTTATTAAGATTATTTTGTTAATTGCGATTTTATATCTGTTTATTTTAATAATCACGCATTTTTTATAAACAAAAATAAAGATAATAAAGTAGAGACAGAAAGTATGTAGTTTCTATATATTTTTTTTTATGAAAAATATCATAAATTATAACCAAACTTTTCTATTTTCAAATGCGTTTAAACATTCATATTTTTAACATTTTTTTCTGCATTGCATACCTTTTATTTTATGTTTGTGCCGAGTTTGAAAATATAATTTTGAAGAGTTAAAGAGTATGTTGTAAAATCATACAACAAAACTATCTTTATAATTTATTTTTTCATCATCACATCGTAATTGATGTGTTTTCTATATAAACTCTTTTTAAATTCTAATTATATTTTGAAAAGAATTTTTTTTTTTATAATTTCGCGAACAGACCTTCTGTCTCGCAGTCAATCATAGAACAAGGACGCTGCTCGCCATGTAAAGGCGGCTTTATCTTTTCTTGGGAAAGGAATTAGAAAATGTAACATCAGCCATCTTACGATCTTACGTCTCTTTTACAGAAGACAGCTTGTGGAAGACAACATGAGGTTTGTTCACTGCAAACTTAATACGTTATTTTGACAAGTATAAGCAATTAAATACCTGTAGAGTCGTCATATGAATCGCTAAAATCCGACTGCATGTACAAGCATGATTTTGCGAAGGAAATTGAAAATATTTCCGTCATATACCATTTGCTATTCGTGATCTGCTGAGCACATGGGCCTTGTCTTTTACAAAACGTTTTTATAAAAGCTTCCCTCGTTATGTCGATAAATTGCGGATGGAATTTTAGAGAAATATGTAGTTTTCTCTCCACGATGTTTTAACTACAAATGTTTCACGATAAATTCTGTAATGAATATAACCCCACTTTTATCGTTGCAGCTCCTTGAAGCTGCAAAAGAGGCTAGCAGCCTCTGTTATGCGATGTGGCAAGAAGAAAGTCTGGTTGGATCCGAACGAAATTAATGAAATTGCGAATACGAATTCTAGTAAGTTGCGTTTTGTCTTGCAGTTTGCATTTTTTTTTTACAAAAGTTATAAAAATTTATGAACTAAGTATTGACAAAGAAATTGTTACATTATTTTCTTAATTTATGTATATATATATATATATATTTTTGTGTTCGTATAGGGTATAGTAATAGGTTAC